ATGGCGGTTTCCAAATCCCCAACCCCCCTCCCCACCGGCCACCACGCGTCCGCGGGGGTGGCGGACTCGGCCGCGTCCGCGGATCGGCCGCGCTTGTCCGCCGCCGAGGGTGTTTCGTTGCCTGCTACCGCCGCGACGTTCGCCTCACCCGGGTGTGGCTGCACCGCTTGCAGCGCCGCACCAACCACGGCCGCAGAGCCTGATCCACCACCCTCGGTTGCGGGTTGCTGATGTGGCATCGTCGATGTGGCCGATTGTCGTGGCGTCGTTCCCCTGGCTGGCTGCGAAGTGCGTGTCCTCGACTGCGTGGATCTCCAACGTTGGACAACGGCACTAGCTGGCGCTTCCTCCATTTGCGCGTCTTTATTGTGCTCTAAATTGATGACTCGTTCCTCGCGTGTTCGTGCCTGCGCCGCTGATCCATCACCCTGTGCACGAACATTGGACGCGGGGGGCAGCGGTGAGTTAATCCTTATGCTCCCCCGGCGACGCCCACCCTGATCCGCGACAATATGTGCCCCTTCTGGAGTGTCCTCCGTCGTGAACACATCATCGTCATCGCTCCGGCTCGGTCTTCCCCGCCCATCCAATGCCATTTGCGCTAAACTGCCTAATGCGGCATCTTGACGGCCCCTTTTCGCTTTTGAGACCTATCGCCCTCGTCTATCAACCCCCCCTGTCTCTTCCTGGATGCCATCGCGTTTCCGGCTGCGGACACGACCACTGAATCTGCCCCGCGTCGACATGGGGTTCTTTTGCGCCGCTCTCCCACTTCTCACCACCGTCTTCCGTCTGCTGCCCACACAAATGCGATGATTATGGCGATGGTGAAGGATGCGACGACGTTGATGACAACACACTCGACGTTAACGAAAATGCTCCTGAACATAAGGTGATGGCGAACCACTGTGGAGAAGATCGATGGCGACGATCAGATGAGTGGCAAAGGGCCCACTTTGTGCGATTCCCCAACAGGATGGTGACAAAGACAGTTGAAGGCCAACTGGGGTGCTACTCGGTGAGTACTCCAATGCGGAGCCTCCAAGGCAAGTGAGGACGCAATGTCACGGCGAGGGACGACTACGACGGTAGGATCCGCTATGGCGACGAGTGTGGTACACTTGCGTGTGGGGCGAGCTTTCGACGACGAAGGAACTAGAGGCGGACTGGTATGCTCTCCTGCAGACCGTGATTTATTATGTGGACAGACATGTCCTTTCAAAGGTCGAAGAGCGACGATGACTGCATTGACGATGACTGCATTGACGATCACCCGAACGATCACCCGAACGATCACCCGAACCACCCGAACGATCACCCGAACATTCCAAGGACCAAACCACGAAGCCAAAAAAAAAAAAAATCCTTGCAATTCCATCCCCTCCTCTAGACGTTCAGATGTCCACATGTCGTATCTGATATCTATCCATGCCGTAGTCGAACTCCGCCTCCCAACAAAGATCGTAAGAGTCGGTGTTCCAATGGTGTGCCAATTCAAGACCCGTGGCTCACCTCCCATACACCACCTCCTCGAACACTGGATTGGATCTGTGCTCTATGTCGAACACGCTGTCCTAGCAAACACCCTTACAAGGGTATTTGCCGTCTTTTTTTAAAGGTCGCACTAGGTGCGTCCTTGATCAACATAATGCGTTGATGGGGCAAATCCCGTCAGGGCGCTCACCTCGGCAACCTCGCTCTTGGCAAGACTCCGAGTCGAATACGGCCAGATTAGAGAGTGTGTGGAACATGCATTACTGCGTTGCACTGTGAGATAGCCGTTAGTCATCGGCAATACCAGGCCGGCGGAAGATGCCAAAGCCATAGAGTCCAATTACTATCTCTTTTGTAGTTTTTATTGTTGATTGTATTTTTCTTTTATTTATAAAGACCAACTTTGCTTCGCAACTAGTTCGGCCTCTGGCGGGACACGACGCGAAAAGGATAAAAACTTTACCTCTCGCACACGCGGGAAGTTTATGTTGGACGACGCGTCGAAAGGTGCGGCGCTGACAAACCTAGTATGAGGGAAAAGTCGAAAGTTTGGCAAAATATGTCAAGCGCCCGACGACCAGGATACCAGATAACCACGATCCTATGCGCAGGCGACATTTCGGCGTCTTCTGACAGCCAGGAGGTTGGCCGGTAGGCCAAGGTGGAGGCCTGGTTTGTGCGGGGAGGACCAATCATGGTCCCACGACTATTCATATACAGGTTCACGCTTACCTAGCTTAGCCTTCGGCCTAGTTCTAATGGTTACAGTACTGGATTTTCAAGCGACAGGGTTGGGGTTCGAGGTCAACAATCGGCAATGGAAAAGAGGAACACGACCAGCAGAGGGTCTTAAGGGACTATCCCCCTTAGTTTGCCGAACGGCCCGAGCCTGGGTCCGACTGGCAAGACCAAGAGGGTGCCGGCGGGTCCTCGTCCTCTTCGGTCCTGCGAATCTTTATTTTTGACTTATTTTTATTTATTTTTATTTTTATTTTTATTTTTATTTTTCTCATTATTTAAAGATCCCTGTCAGTTGACCAGGCCGGAAACTGGCTCCTCGACTGACGACGACGAAGCACCATGAGGGCGGATGAAAAAAACTTCAAAAGAGAATTAAAGAATGTTTGAAAATTGCTCAACGACGAAGCGGAAGGAGAGAAGTCGTGTCTCCCCACTCAACGAGGATGGAGGGCGACTGTGTCACCGCCCTCCTTGACGGTACGTGGGGTGCATGCCAGCATAGGCTGTTGTGACCGGCATTACAGTAGGGAGCGATTGAAACACCCCCCCTATGAGTGGCCATCACGGCAGTCGAAGACCTTGAGCAAGCACCTCTTTGGGCAGGTCCGTTCGACTTCCTGTGTGATCGGGATGCTGACGAAGTTCCTCCATCTTTCCTGTCTTGAAATCACGGTCCAAGGGAATTCAACGTGCATGTGAGCAGCGGATGCGTAGCCCGCGAAGAAGAAGGAACCTGAGTGGCGGGACCAGCACCTGCGGGKGCACCATCCGCCAACCAAGTGTTGCTGTAAGAGGTTCGAGTGTGAACGGTCTTGTGGGACCATTGCCACTAGGCCAAGCTCGGTTGGTACACCCGCAAACTGTTGAAAAACAGTCTTGTGGGACTGATGCCACTGAGCTAAAGCTTAGTCGGTACCCCCACCAACTGCTGAAAATAGGCCTGTGGGATCAGCGCTACAGGACCTAGCCCAGTTGGTACACTCGCTAACTGCTGAAAATAGGCCTGTCGGATCAGCGCCACAGGACCTAGCTCAGTTGGTACACCCGCAGACTGTTGAAAAACAGTCCGGTGGGGTCACCACCTATGCGAGCTCAGCTGGTATATCCGCAGACTGTTGGGAACAGGTCTGTGGGACCAGCACCTGCAATCTTAGCATAGCTGGTACATCCGCAGACTGTTGGGAACAGGTCTGTGGGACCAGCACCTGCAGGCTTAGCATAGCTGGTATACCCACGAGCTGTTCAAAATACACGTGCAAACTTGAACCTAGAGACAATCATATGGCCAGTCTGAAAATCATCCCCAGTATCAGCATATTCCGGCTATTTATCTATTTTCGTTTCTCTTGTTTTATCTTACTTTAGTTTTTCATCGGTTTCAGTCCAACGCATCTAATGCCCAGGTTTGGGCAGATTCCTTCAGATGGGGGCGATTGGTGGCCGACTCTTTCTCGCGGAGGCAGCAGTAGCTTATCCACAGACTATCAGCCTAAGCTACTGCTTGACCTGGCGGTACAATAGAGGGAGGACATATCTGTTGAGTAGCGGAACTAGAGGGCAAGGCAGCGCTATTTCAAGGCGAAGAAGAAGGAAGTAGAAGAAGACTGGGGAAAACGAAGAAGGAGATGGCAAAGGTGGAAGAAGCTATGACTTGTCCATTTTTGGTGAAATGGGGCAAGGTGAGGGTGAAATCTGAGGATTTGGGGTAGGGCGACCCTGAATCTGCAGTCAGATCGAAAGGAAAGTTAGCAGAAGTGGGGTTAGAGTAGAATGGGGCAGCGCTGTGAATGGCTGGCAATGGATATGGCGGGAGCAGAAAACAGAAACGGAGATCTCGCTCGATTCTTGATGGAATCGGGCGAGATAAAGTGCTAACTAGGGGTTTCAAGGTATTCTGAATCGAGTGGTCGTGCCAGTTTTTTAGTTTGAGCGACGGTTTTGCCAGTATGAGGTGTAAAGGCTGCGTGGGGGAGTAGTGGTAATGCATCTTTCCACACTCCAGGGAAAGATTCATTCTTAAATTTCATGTAGTATGTCCTTGCTGCCTGGGGGTCGATGTGCTCACCCCGGTCACTTCTTGAGGCGCTGCTTGCTTCCATTTCAGGTGTGATCGACATCATCACTGCTAGCGCCCATCGCCTGATTGAGACTGTGGGGGTGATAGCACTGCTCTTTGCCATCATGATTATGTTGCTGCTGTGCGTTGATCATCCTCTTGAACTTGTATTTCTTTGAGCGTTCCTGTGCTCGTGCTCTTCGCCACCATTACGCTCTAGTCAATACCTCGGTAGTCACGGTGATGCTGCATGCTCCCGGTGGTTGCCCTCCTCACACAAAAGTGGGAGAGAGCGAATGAATCTGGCCGGAGTGTCGGCCAGATACATTGGATGAGAGAAGAAAGAGAGACGGAAGGGAAGGAAAAAGAGTATGTACCTGGCTGATCGAGGCGACAGGCGGGGTGAACAAGGAGACGAGCTGCCACAACGAGGGGGGGTGTAGCTTCCCATGTTCTAGTGGACGATTCATTCTCAATTTTGTACCTTGGTGAGGGGAGTAGAGAGGTACGCGGTGAGAAGAGCAAGAGGCCAAAAACAGAGCAGCTGGCGAGCAACAGCAGCAGGGTTGGAGGTCTACTGGGTGCGCCTTACGCTGCTCATGCGAACGAAGGAAGCAGCGTGAGACCGGCTGCAGGGTTGGAGGCTTACCTGTTGGGCAGATGCACCTGGGCGCTCCCTAGTGTGAGATCCATCTGGTCTTTGAGTGAACAACAAACAGCAGCGAAGGTCGGGGAGTAGGAGAGAAGTACGAAAAAGGAAGGCAAAGGCGATAGAGGAGCTAGAGAGGGCAGCAAAGAGCTTACATGCTCCTCATGCCACCCTGGTCACCGTCCTTATCAACGTGACCGCCGTACTGCTCCAACCATGACCTGTGTCGCCACCATGTTACTAAACTCGTAGGAATCTGGCCAGGGCTGCGGCTAGATGCATCGAATGGAGAGAGAGAGAGAGAGAGAGAGAGAGGGAGAGAGAGAGAGAGAGAGAGA